TGGATCTTGTTAGACTTCATGTGCTAAAATATATCTTGTTTTATGTCAAAAATATTTTATATTTCAATTCTACACCTTCTACAAAAATAAATATGAATAATTCTTAAATGCAATGAGATTACAGAATAATATTTATTTTACAGAATATATTTTTTTTATAAATGTTATATTTCAGCAAAGATAACACAGTATTTTACATGACTTGTATTGACATTACTAATAAGATTGTTTTCCCATACAGAATTAAAGATGTGAAATGGCACATAAAAGATGGAACATTACATCATATTTTACCAATTTACAATAGTGCTGTAGAAGTAACATCTTACGATAGTAAAACAGGAGATAAATTGAAAACAAGAAGAGTCTCAGCACCATTTATAACTCAAGAAACAGAGTATGGAATTACTTCATTTTCTTTTTGTCTTCTTTAAGAGTATTATTTTTTAAATAAAATATTAAATTAATATAATTTTTTATCATTTAGATGTGTTCTAGCTGCTCCATATTTAGCATGTTTAAAAGGAGATAGTTCATTAGCTGTACTGTTGTTAGTACATTTATTTGATACACATTCTCAACCACAATCAGTTACAATAAATACTATATTTGGTGCTGGTGCACAAGGTCCATATCACTTAGAATCAGTGTTAGGTGAAGAACCTATTATATCAATTAGCGCAGATAATAACCAACGGAAACGAATTCTTCTTGTTGGGGAAGTACCTGTTCCTATTCAAAGAGATATAGTAGGAGATGCAGCGCTCTATGTTGTGTCAGTTGATAATGAAAAAATACTTTTAGAAACAACATATAAAAATGGGGCAAGTATTTTGCGCTTTGCATGTATTACGAAGGATTTTTAAATATTATTTTTAAACAATCATAAAAAACTTCTATTACTATAATTTTAGGTAACAGAAATTGTTGCTTCAGAACTTTTAACATCAAAACCTATGCCAAATATATCTACCAGCGTAACACATAATTCATTACTCTCGCCAACAATCATAGCTTCTGTTTGTCCTCGGCAAACGAAAGGCGTAACATGCCGTCATTTATTAGCTTCAGAAGATCACAGTGTTGCGCTGCTACAACATAATAAGTTAATATGGGCTAGAGAAGAAGCACTTGCTAATATTGTAGCAGTGGAAATTATAGAATTGCCCATGTCAGACAGGGATCAAGAAATAGAAACAGAATTCGATCAAAAAGAGAGTAAGTACTATCTGCATATCATATTTGTTAACCCGGGATTACCCACGTGGGGGTCTAGTGCCGGGGATGTACCTGCACTAGACCCCCACGTGGGTAATCCCGGGTTAAGGCACAGCAAACGCTATAAGAAAAAGTATAATGACGTAATTATTCATTATCATTAAAAGGAATATTCAAAAATGTATGTTATAAACATTGATAATTACGATATCAAAAATTCATTAAAATTCGTTAAAATTCGAAATAGGTATCTATCTATTATAAATAATTTATAAAACATTTCTTATATTTAATGCAAGTATTTAATATTTGTAAGATGAAAAGCATTTTTTAATACAAGTATATAACACTTGTATGAAAGTAATATTAAATTTAAACAAAAAAGTATTAGTTTAGTAATAAAAAAAAAAAAAAAATGGTATTAATTACGTTTCTTTTGTGAATGGCTGCTGGCAGGTATTGATGTAGACAGTTCATGTAAGTAGTGGAGCAGCAAAGGCTGAGTTTGAAAATTACTTTATTCCTGCTGTTTATTAGTCTTATACGCACGTTAATTTTCTTTAGAAACTCAAGAAAACATAAATGAATTAAATGCCAACTAGTAAATATTTTTATCTTTGCTATTTAAAGAGATCTCTATAATATTATTATTTGCATGATAATATATATTATTTTAATATATTTTACAATTTAACAAGACTAGACATTTTCAATGCAACAATATATTTTAATTTGACTTACAAATAGAATATTGAAACATTGTGCATGAACGATTAAAAAAATAATAATTATTATATTGGTAAATTTAATTATGCTTTATTGTAATTTTTCATTAATATTTTTTATTAATATTGCAATTGGTTGTTAGTTTTAAAATTAAAAGACTTTGTTGTTCCTTTGTTTTTTTTTATGACTGTGATACAAAAAAGACAATTTACAATATTATACGTGTGACATATTTTATAATTTTATGTTATATCTAGGGGATGTATTGAGCATGATGTTTAGAAGAGTCGGTTCTCAACTTAAACAAGCGAAGACGTTTCTTCAATCCATATTAAGCCTCACACCTCAACAATCAAATCAACGCATGGACTTAGTACGAGATAAATTCGGATTACATAAAATGATTGTTCTTGTTACATCAGCAGGAAAAGTATGAAAATAGATATAATTATATTGATTGATTAACAAACATTATATATATATATACATATGTATGTATAATTTGAATCATACATTCTGTGATAATTCTTAATTTTGTATTTTTATAGTTATATGGTATTGAAACTAGAAAAGGTGAAATTATTTGGCAACTTAGAGTACGAGGTATTCGCGGTTTTAGTAAAAGATCTGATGCAATAATTTTATACGTACAACGTGGTAGCCGGCATTTTCCATATCCACCACAATGCGCGTTATTAGCCGAGGATAAAGTATGTATTATAATTATATATTATCATCAGTTTGATGTAAATGTATTCTTAATTTGATTTTAAATATTTTAGCAAACAGGAGAAGGAATTGTATATACTTTTAATCCAATTACTGGCCAACCACTAGATGGTTTAGTAAAATTAGGTTATAGAATAAAACAATCTATGTTACTTCATGTAACAACAGATGATTTTCTGCGAGGCATACTTATTTTTGATATACGAGATAAAGTTCACGTATATCCTAAAGGTGCAACTGCAATTGCTGCATCAATTGCTAAAAACACATATATATTTACTGCTGATCAAACAACTGGAATATTGTCTGGCTACTCTTTATCATATAGTACATCTCAAGTATGTATACGTTGTTTGATTAACATTTTACAACCAAATATTCATTTTAATCTTATCTTTTAGGAACTTATTTCTCATAAAGTATGGGAATTATTGCTTTCGCCAAAAAACCAAAGAATAACACACGTTGTATCGAAAAATCCAATAGAACGTGTTCATTCCCAGGGTAGAGTTCTAAGTGATAGATCAGTTCTATATAAGTATATTAATCCTAATTTAGTCACAATTGTAACTGAGGGTGTTGGACACACTCATAAAAGTACGTTTGTAACTGTTTAATACTAATAATTATTAAATTTTCATATCATATATAACTATTTTTAAAATAATCTATGACTTACAGATACGCTTAATTTATATTTATTGGATGTAGTATCTGGAGCAATGATATTTTCTATTATGCACAAAAGAGTACGTGGCCCAGTACATGTTGTGCATTCAGAAAATTGGATAGTGTACAGCTATTTTAACGAAAAGAGTCGTAGGACAGAAATTGCTAGTTTAGAATTATATGAAGGAAAAATACAGAGTAATACCACAGGTACTGTTCACACCATGCGTTTTACTATAATTATAATTTATAATTTATATCGTTGTTTTTATTTACATTAAACATTATAAATTCATTGTCTCGTTTCAGTGTTTTCATCTTTAGCTACAACTAAGTTGCCTATTGTAGAAAGGCAAGCCTTTATTTTCCCAGCCGCAATAGAATCTATGCGGGAAACTATTACAGAAAAAGGTATCACAAGCAAACACATTATCGGTACGTATACGAATTGTTACTCCAATTCATTTTACATAAATATTAATTTTTATTTACAAAAGATAAGTAAAACTTTAATATTCATGAATAGAAAAACATAGTTGTTTATAAATCATTTTAAATATGTATTAGTGGCCCTAGCTAATGGTGGAATATTGGAATTACCATGGATGATGGTAGACCCACGGCGGCCTATTAATCCCGAAGTACGCGAGGAGGGTGTGATACCATACATGCCAGAAATACCTATTCACATGGATGCAATAATTAATTATAATCAAAGCGTCTTTAGGGTTTCCGGCATTCATACTAGTCCTAGTGGCCTTGAAAGTACTTGCTTAGTTTTTGTACACGGTCTCGGTAAGTACTTTGAGATGCAATTTTATGCTAATATTATTAATGATTAATAATTGAAAGATTGATATATTTAATTTATTAATAATGTACTGAAATTAGAAAATTACAATTGTGCATGTAATACGATGTTCACAGACTTATTCTACACACGCGTGGCACCGTCTAAAACATTTGATGTTTTGAAAGAAGATTTTGATTATTATCTTATTGTGATAGTATTGGCAGCGCTTTTAATTTCGTCGTACATCACAAAGAAACTAGCATCACAAAAAGCGCAAAAACAAGCATGGAAATGATGTTTCATTTTTCTAGAAAATCAATGCATTACATTCTTAAATATTTGTTCACTAAAAGCAAGACATTTTGCTAATAATAATTTGTAAAAAAAGTACTGTTTTATAAAAAACCAATGTTACTGCAAAGTGAATGTTAATAATTTATTATCTTACCTAAGTATCTTAATATATATACATATGTATTACATATATGTATGTATATATGTATTATTTGTCCTTTTATTAGTACAGAACGCACACAGTAGTTAGTATATTTCTGAACATTTTAAAGTGTGCTAATCATTGTATGACAACAGAGGACCAGGATCATTAATTATTAGATTATTAAAATAACTGACAACATGCTCAAAATATAATTACTTTTTGTTAAAAAAAAGAATACAAATATACTTATACATTTCTTCAATATATATACACTTAAACAAATTAATTTTAATAGAAAATTAGAATAAAAATATCAAGAATGGTTTTAATTTCGTTTGTTCATAAATTTGATATTTCATAAATTTAATTTCCAACTGTTTAAAAATGATATTTAGAAGTTATGTTATATTAAATTTATGTGTTAAATTATATAGATTCTATCACCTAAAAATTATTACAAATTTTTCAAGTTTAAAATTCATAACATATATATACACACACACACACACACACATTATTCTAAGAACTATACTTTATAGTTTTTTCTTGCAAGAATTGAAATATTGTGTAAGCATGTAATGAAGAATATATGTTTAGACATATTTGGAATAATTGAAAAAAGTTTAAAAGAGCGGATATATATGAAAAATTGAATTATAGATTTATATTATAAAAATATAACAGAAATTTAAAGTTAACTCCTAACAAAAAAACTTTCACAATATTTTCTGAAGCAAATTAAAATTGCATTTAAGAATATATAAAAAGGATGTTAATATCTCGGATTTCAAATTTCCTGCATTTATAAGCATTTTTTGGCTTAATTAAATGAAAGTTACATTATTATTTTTATTATCATTCGTAAATTGTTGTCAAATTATAACTGTGTTATAAGTAACGAAATGAAAATCAAGTTATATCACCCAATGAGAAATACAAGAAGTAAAATGTATGTCACAGTACAAAAGGATTTAATTTACTATACATTTATAACTAAATAAATATAAAATGAGCTGTGTGGTCTGTGAATAGATTATAAAAATATATCTGTTGTATAGGATAATTATTTGCTTTGTAGATAAATGTAAAATTTTTAATAAATATAAGTTATTGTACAAATAAGAATGTAAACAACAATATGAAAATTGTAAAATGTTAAATACCATAATTGAATAAAAATTGTATACAAATAAAAGTTTGGAAAATTATAAATTTTATTTATTTATTTTAATTTTTAAATAGTACAATTATGAATAAAGTATAAGAAATACTATATATAAATCTATTTACATTTATTATGATACAAACTTACATACATTTTATATTTTTACAAAACAATCACTTTAAAACTATTTTTTTAATTTCATGACAATCAGCAATTTTATCTTGAATATATTTTATAATAATTTGTATATTTTTCAAGTATTTATTTGTTGAAATATTTTCAGTAATCTAAAAAATAATAAAAATTAAATATTTAACTTTTAATAATTATAATTATTATATTCTTAAAAAAAATTCATATTATTGCATACCATTAAATCTGTAATACTAAACGTTGCATCTGAAACAGTTTTTTTTACTTTAGAATTAAAAATACCAAGACATTTCACCCAGACAATATCACTATTATAATCCGCAATATCCTTGTACAATTGTACACAACATTCCTATAAATGTAAAATAATAATATAAATCGAAACGACATTTATATGTAAAAATGTTCGTAACGTCAAAATTTACTTGTAATACGAAATTCTGATGTTTGTCAAGGTATGGCTCTACAATACTTAAGACATTAAATGTTTCTCGTTCCTGAAGATGTAAATTCTTTGTCATTTGCCCCAAGGTACAAAGTAATTCTTTTTGTAATTTATAAGTTTGAGTAAATTTATATATACTCTCAGAGCTTTTATTGTAACTTTCATTAACAGAATTACTCAGAAACTTTGAGAGTGCGGGTAATACTTGTCTAAAAATTATAATAATTATTGTTGTAAATATATATAGAGTATAAAATATAAAATACATACTTCAACGTTCTATGTCGTATAAAATCTTTTGAAACACGAGCTACCACATTTAATAATTGCCATGCTCGATTAATTATTAATACATTTTCATCGTAAAATCTATCCACTAGTGGGTGCCAAAGTATATGCACAATGGGTAATAGTTGATTTTCCCAATTTGTTAAAATCTCAAGACCTTCTTGTATAGTTGTCATTGCAATCAATGAAATTTCTATTTCTTTAGATGGTAAAAAATGTGTACAATGTTTTAGTACATCTTCAACTATTTTAATGTAAAGTGGTATATTTTCTTCTTTTTCTAGAATTTTTATTTAATATATTATTATTTATAGTAATTTCTTTTTATTATTGATTTTAATAATGTATATTTACCTTCTTGTTCTATAGAATTTTCTTGATATTCATTTTCTTCTATTTCTATTTTTTCTTCTTCATTCTCCTCTTTCTCTTTAATATCACAACATTGTTCTATATCATTTATATCTTCATCAACTTTTTTTGCTTCACAATAATCTGATAAAAATTGAATAATTTTCAAAGATTCACTTTTAGCTGTTGAAGATTCGTTTTTACTTTGTTCATGTACTATTGGCACATGTTCAGAATTTGCAAATTTTTTAGTGCATTTTATAAAAGTATAAAAAATTTTTAAAAAAGAAACATAAGAATTTCTTTTTTGAAAACTGTTATTTAGTTGTGATAGCACATCCTCAACAATTTGTTTCAAACAGGGTAATACATCCATTGTACTATATTTCATAACAACTTCAACCACATCAAGTACATTAGGATTATGTTCTACTTTACGTAATTTTATACCAACATGATATGAAAAGTAGTCGACATTTGCACGTAGAAGATCTCCTACTGTATCATGTTGCTGAGATTTTGCAATTTGTTCGAGAGTTTGAGTACCAACAAAACTGATTAGACTATGTCCACTACCTAAAGATATGTAAATAATACTTTTCATGTAAAAAATTCTATTATTTTGTCATTTCTTAATTATATTGATATTGATATAAAAATTAATAATCACCTGCTCTTTCTATAACAAGATATAACGTATTAAGAAGAAATCTATCATAATCACGTTTCAAATTTTGAGCTATTAATCCCAAACCTTCTAATAATAAGCAACATCGTACCACATTGCTTTGTGCAACTTGTAAGGATGTATCTTTACTAATTTCAATTGGTGGATACCAAAATTCAGGATTTATATAAAACTCAACAACCTCTTTATAAATTGATAAAACTGATGAATCCTTGACAGGCACTAAAATATTTAATAACATTTAATGTATCTTAAATTGTCCTGAAACAGAGAATTATTCAACGTACCATACATTATCCAGTTCAATAATAAGATTAACTCCTTTCTATGCTGTGATGCATTAAGCATAAGATCAAGAATGGTATCTACTAAAATTCGAAGATCTCCAAATTCACCTAAATATTTACATATTGCAATAACTCTCGCTTCACACGCATTATTTTGGATAAATTTAAATTGTCTCCACAAATGTGATCCATATGAATATGCTGGATCATCAAGATCTTTAACATTTATTGCTTGCAGAAGAGAGACATTACTATAATTTATTTCAGATACATATACGAGAGCCAATATTAATCTATGAACGTGAGGTGCTGACATCATAATATGAGGCAATCTCTTTTCTCCAAGAAGCTTTAAATAACCAGCAATTTGATTTAAACAAGCTAACTGGTCACTATCATCTAAAAAGTAGAGATATTTTGTTAAACTTTTTTTTTTATATTATTTCTAAATAATAGTAATAATTGCGATATTGTCGTACCAGACTTCCTGATAATCCTAGGTAATTTTGTAAGCAAATCATAAAAATTTTCTTCTAACAATTCCACTAAGGACTTCATATTATTACCTTGTATGAAATTTGTAATAATTGTATTTAATACTTCATCAGCTTTGTCATGTACTGCTGGAAATTCATCTTCAGTTAGACACATCAAATACTCTATTAATAATATAATATTTGGTTTCATATTCCTGTTTAAAAAAATATATGTAATATCCTTTTAGAAATGTTTAAAAAATAAGATAAAGTATTACCTAGGACATGATGTAAGCAATAAATGAATACTTTCAACTAGTTCTTTTCTAACTTTATAGTGAGAATGTCTTATTAATACATGTAATTGTTGAACAAGTATACTAAGTTTAATTGCGCAAGCATTAAACCATTCTTTATTCCTTGTTGTACTTTTAAGATGATTCTCTAATTCGCTTCGATTTTTCATATTTGGAAAAACACCTACATTATCAGTTGGATCAATAGGTTTTTCATTATTTATTTTGACTAAATCACTTAGTGATGGTACGTAGTCTTCTTCCTCTTTATCTTTCATTGCAAGAGATATCACCCTGCCCCAAGCTCTTAGAGCTATCTACAATTTAGTTGATATAAAATCTTGATATAATTAGAAATGATAATCTGAATTTTTAGAAATTTCTTTCTATTACCATCGTAAGTTTATACCCTTGTGTATCACTTCCTGTAGCTATTTCTTGCAAACCACTGACAATTCCAGGTAAAAATAACATAATAATATCAGCAACTTGATCATGCCATATAGGATCAAATCGATTTGATTCATCATTAATTTGACATAACGTCATTACTGTTTCAACAGCTTCTAATCTAAAAATTTAAAAAATATAACCATGTATTCATGAATTATTGAAAAAATATATAACCATATATTCATAAATTATTGAGAAAAAAAAGAAATCAATAGATTTTCATTATATTTACCTAAGAAGATTGGATTTTTCATTTCTTCCTATTGTTATTGATAATAATATCCCTTGTCCTAGTTTAGCAGCATTTTCTTTTGTATATATCTGTTCTAAAACATTTGTGAAACAAGAATTTATCAAAGTTTTAATGCATGAGAGTACTGCTATTTTTAGTTCTTCATGTCCTGTGATTACTGTAAAAATTAAATATAAGTTACATATAATATAATTTGTAGTAATATAAATTAAAATAATCTGTTAAAAATAATCTTATTATTAGGCAAAATAAATAATGAATCAAAAAAGTGTATTCCAATACATATTGTATTTACCCATATTTTTTTGAGTTTTGTCATAAATTTGTATTAAAAGGCACGAATATAATTCAGTGAAATATTTTATGTTTGATATCTTCGTCCTGCATATTAGTGCTTGAGTTGTTTTGACTAATTCCTCTTTTATGTTTCGACTGTGAAGAATTAAGAATACTTAATTGTATTTATTGCATTAAATAAAATACAAATTTATATTTATTTAAATACAATAATCTCCAGGATTTATTAAAATAAATTATAATCTATAATCATTAATAATGATTAAATAATATATATGATGAATTAATTACTACATAGCTGCATTAATTTTTATATTATAAAATATAAAATACTTTACTTTAATGTGTTATTTGGTAGATGCACAATGAAGGGAAATAAAATATATTCAAACAAATCTTGAATAACTTTGTCTGAGATTTTTGGAAAGACATTGGCAATATCACGAGCAATTTTTACATTTGGATTTTTCATTAAAGCATCACAAAGTGGCTTTAAGGTAGTAAATGCTTCTTGTATTTTAAAACGTTCCATTTCTTATTTGAAACAACAAAATCTTGCAAATTCTAAATGACACTATCGATGCACTTTGTTTTAAATACGTGTTGATACTTACTCACACGAATGCAAATATATATATATATATATATATATATATATATATATATATATGTATATATATATATATACGAAGGGATTCAAAAAAACATATATTATCAGCCTCAACATTATTCTTATTATTATAAAATATTGTATAATAAACTACAGAAAGTATAGAATTTTAAAAATAATAATGTTATTCAAATTAAATTTGAATTTGAATTTAATTTGAATTTAATTGAATTTTGCTTTTGAAATTTGTATTTACTATTTATGAAAATATTACAACAATTGATGCATTTTTTCATAATAACGAAATGTACATTAAAGAATAATTTAGAAATTTTTTGGCATCATTGTTTGTTTAATGTAATTAAAATTCTATTATAGGAAAATAGATCTAACGCTTTTACCAGCAGTCAATAAACTTCTCAATTGTCATTCGTTAAAGGAGAAAATAAATCGTCCAACCTAAAATAAACGCTGTTTCATTCAGATAAAACGATTTAGATATTTCTTTTGTATTTATCACTAAAAGATAATCATTTACTTTTTAATAAACGTTCAACAGCGAATGCTATTGTTATGCATGTTAATACGCCAGATATTTACAATGTGATTAATCTACTACCAAACAAAGAAAAGACATGTACAAGTTAAACATTTTATTATTCTTTCACTATTTTGCAATTGTTGCAGTTTCTGCTGTACGTATTAAATCTATTTTTTGTTATCTATAATATATTCTTAGAATATCTCTTTGTTACATTATTTACAACGTAAAAAAATCACTTGAAATTTAATGAGTTCTAATATAGTGTATGTACTTTTGTGTATATAAAACTGTAAATTTGTTTCAAATTGTTTATGTAATTTAAGTTTTATGAGACAATGAAGTGTTTTATGAGACAAGAAGTTTATTAGTACATATTTTATGCAGGATATATCAGTAGTGGATGACAATTTTTGCGTAATTCATGAACCTGTTTTGAAACTTTTTTCTTACAACTTTACAAGTCTCACAAGTACAAAATATATTTCAAATAATGAGTTTTTCAATGCAACTATACGTTTGCAATTATGTTCTCCACTGAAAGAAAAATGCAATGGGAAAGATGGATATGCAGTTTGCTTGACAAAAAACAAAGAAGAGAAAGGAATAGGTTCTAATTTTATGTATATACATATATATAAAATATTGAAATTGATATCTATCTATGATAAAATAATTTTATTTTCTTGTAGGAAAAATGCGTCCAAAGGTGAATATAAAAAATGGGACGATAATGTTTGTATTCACAGGTGATGATTGTACAGCTGATACTAAATACACTGTAAATATTATTATGAAATGTGATTATGAGGCTGAGAATAATTCTCATCCAGAATTATTTTCTCATGTATGTATTGTATATAATCATACATACACACACACACATATGTATATATAATATAAATTTATAATTTATTATTAATATTTTAGACATTAGAATTATGTAATATATATATGATGTGGAAAACTGCTTTTGCTTGTGGACCTCGAATTAAACAAAATTGTACAGTAACACATAATGGATTGCATTACGATCTATCACCTTTAACAAAATATTCACAAAATTATGTTGTTCATACGGGTAATAGAATATCTTCAAAGATTATATTAAATATTTGTCACTCTGTAATATTTGAACACAATGCTTTGTGTCAATTACGTTCGGGAGCTTGTTTACAGAGTTCTACAGGAACTGAGTATGGATATTTTTATTTTTCTATAAATTTTCTATAAATAATTTGTAATCAAACTTATACATTGACATTATGCATATATAGATAATTATTATTTTATTACAGATATGTAAATTTGGGTGATGTTCATGACCCACCATTTATAATAGATGGAGCACTTAGACTTGAATATCAGGATGGAGATTTGTGTAAAGTGAGAGATATTACAGAACCACATATTAAGACATCTATCTTTTTTATATGTGATTTTGAAGCTTTGGTAAATATTATAGTACATATTATTCACTAATTCAATATTTGCATTTTTTTGTAAGTCTCTATTTTTGATTAGGATACAGTTCCAGAATATACTGGAGGAAGTGAAGAATGTCACTATCGAATAATGTGGAAAACTGCAGCAGCTTGCAGTGTGGAATCTTTACGTAATCATAGTACAGCCACTGCTGGCAAATGTACAGTGACTAATCCTCTCACAAATTTTACGTAAGGTTAAACTAAAAAATTTGATTTACACTTATATTTTAGTTCTTAATAAACATTTGATTTCAGATATGATTTGCGACTTTTAATGAATAAAAATTCTTATACAATAAGAAAAAATGGCACAGAATATAAATTTGGAGTATGTAACTCACTTGTGAATTTATGTGCGTCAGGAACAGGTTATTTAAATTATTTTATATCTTTCTCATTTATTTTTTAAACATAATTATACTACTATTTTATTTGTCCAATTTGTTATTGGATTATATGTATTTTTGTTTTCACATCTAGGTGTTTGTCGTATTAATTCATACACATCCATGGGAAAGGCTAATACAAATTTAATGTGGGAAGAAGGTGGACCATATTTAAATTATACAGATGGAGATGTATGTAAAACTGGACAACGACGTTACACAATTATTGCATTTATATGTGGAGCAGAAGGATCTCCTGATGGACCACTTATTATGGAACAAGATGATTGTCAATTGATTATACATTGGAACACTAATTTAGTTTGTGGGAATAGGGTAGATAATAATAGACAATTATTTACTTAATATTTCAAGTATATATGTTTTTGAATCATTACAGACAAAAATTTACACTTTGTAGGTAAAATGTGTGACTGATGATGATGAAATAAATTTAAGTTCATTGATAAAATCTACCAATAACTATGTCGTAAAAATAAATAAAACTGAGTTTCATATAAACATATGTAGACCTCTTATTTCTGTATCAGGTTTAACATGTGCTCATGGCAGCGCAGTTTGCAAAACTTCATTAAGTTCGGATAATGAATATGTAAATGAGACCGTAAGTAATTAAAAATTTTTAAAAATCTATAATTACTTTTTTTTAAACTGAAAATGATAAGTATTTACATAGAGTTTAGGGTTTCCAAAAGAAAGTCCTGTATTAAATAAAAACCATGAAACTGTATTACGTTACGTGGATGGATCTCCCTGTCCTGAGAATCCAAAAAAATCAATTTCTTCCAATTTTACATTTCCGTGTTATAATAATGATAAGGTAATTAATCGATATTTATTTATACAACTATCTGTGATTTTTAAAGAGGAGTATTGTATAATTATATATTTATGATTTCAAGGGATTTCCAGAATTTAAAAAATATGAAGACTGCACTTACATTTTTGAGTGGAAAACAAGTATAACGTGTGGTGCTACAATGGGAAATTGGACTTCTCCCTGTATAATAAAAGATCAATTACTTTCACATGAATGTAATCTGTCTTTATTACATAAAAATGAGAAAATATACTATGTAAGTCTAATATTTTCTGTTTTTTGTAAATTAATTTGATAAAATTATAAAACCCAATTGAATGTTTATTATTAATGTTTTCATTAATGTAAAATTTATAAATTATGAGTCTTATACGAAAGAATAAAATAATATATTTATTAATTCTTTGAAAACTCATTTCACTTGTTGTAGGTGAAGAATAAACAAGGAAAAGAATATAGTATAAGTATATGTGGAGAAAAGAGCTGTAATGGTTCTTCTGTATGTCAAGGAAATAATGGTTATGGATCACTGACAAACGTAATTTTTGATTATGGTAGAAATGTTATAAAACTTCAATATTCTAACGGTAGCAAATGTGGAAATAAAAATAGTAAGTATGTACTGTTTATTTATTGTTGAATTATAAATTTTATATTATTATTTTTATATTAATTAGATTCCTACACATCCGAAGTACGATTTATATGCAACGAGTCTATAGGAATTGGCACACCAAAGCTGTTATGGGTAAGTTTTTACAATATGTGTGAAAGATTATACGAATATTTATTTCTCAGGTACGTTTTTAATAATATAATAAAATTGTTTTAACATTAAAGAGTACAATACAATAAAAAAATCATTAATTTAAAGTGAGATTCTTTATTTTTCTAGTCAAAGTTCTTAATGTCTTTATGATTTTTTTTTTTATTAAAATATTACATCTAATGGTAATTATAAAAAAAATTATTGAGCTCACAAAATTGAGCAATAAAATAGCGATTGTATAGTAACATAACATACATATCTATATACATATGATCTTAATCTTATCATAGTAACAGAATTTTAACACAATGAATTATTTTATGTATGTATATCTAATTAAATCTCATGCAATTTTGTTTATGTAATATCATTATAATTTACGCACATAAGAAATAGACATTAATATATGTAAATGATAAATGAAAATTCATTGCATACATACATAAAGTATACAGTACTATAGAGAAACAAATATTATTTGATGAAAATTCTGATGAAAAGTAATTAATTTAATATTTATCTTATTTTTATAATAATAATCTACTTTACTAATAATGGGAACACATTAAAAGTTAAAAGCTATTCAAAATTATAAAAAATCTTATTTACTACAATCTATCTATCTTTTAAAATCAAGTTTGTTCAGTCGTTGTATGTAATTTGTCTTTAACGTTTACTTATAGTGATATTTAAAATTTCACAAAAGAAATTTATAAATTTAAAAATGCGATGATACATTAAAGGCTGTAAAGAATTTTCGACATTGCACTACGCATTAAATATTGATCGAAATACTTACTCAAAAATTTAGACTTATGATAATTTCAAGCCTGAAATATTATTCAAGCATGTTCATTACTATTACATATGTATATGTGACGTGATCTGATTTTGTCCCTTCCGGTATCATAGATGATAGACATCGTTTTTCGAAAGACAAATATATGAAGCTTACATTGAATCTTAAATATAATCGCACATGTATAACACATTGCATAATGTATTCAATTTACCTATTTATACATATTATACAAATGAAATTCTGCATGAATTGCAATGATCGATTTTCTACACATCAGCTGGCAGCGGATATGTTTTATTTTCCATTTGAATAAAGTCGTAGAAAAATTCACATTAAAGGCACAAAATGAGTAATTTGGTTTTGCTGAAGAAATATTTCCTTCTTGAAAATGTTTCGTATATTCTTAAACATGTACAATGATCCCACTACACGGTGGTACATTGTACTTTGTTAAGATTATGTTTTATTAACTCCTCAGTCGAAAGAATGAGTTTAGTACTACAATCTGTTGGAGACAAATTTCCTAGATGCTCTTTATTATTTCCTTCCTTCTCGTCGGATATAAATATTTTAAGAGAATCTGCCGGTGGAGTGCTCGCTGCAGGAGGTGTTTCAGGAACGTTGTTTGTATGAATTAATTCTTTCTTCTCGCCGCTGATTTGTATGCACGGTTGATGCTTTGCAAAGATTTTCCTTCTTATAGCGTTCTTTATCAGCTCTGGGGAATGTGGTAACGCATATCGCAGTTTATCCCAGAACCAAGGATCACCCCATTTCACGTACGTGTTCATGCTCAAGTACGCCTTGAGTTCTGGATCCAAGTCGTCAGTGGGGCCGATCTCTCCATACAAAATTAAAATAACTCTTGCTCTCCCTTCGCTCAGCGCCTGACTATGCGCTGCTCTGAATTCCATTCGCCCCCAAACACTCTCCAAAAAGTTCGGTGATAACACTACTATCGTTCGCCTAGAATCCTGTACGGAACGTGCAATTTGTGTCGGTATCCATTCTCCAGCTAACCAATCGCGGAAATGCAAACACAGTTTAAACGGTCTTGGACCAGTTTCTAGCTGTGGCACCAGCTCATTCACAACAAAGTCTTCGTCCTTGTGAGAGTAGCTTATGAACGCATCGTACAGCTTATCCTTGTCCAATTCGTCTTCGGTTACTAGCCACAAGCACAGCTGATGCGCGTACAACCAAACTTTGATCTCTCGTTGATATCGGTAATAGAGTGCTGCTAGTAGACCGATTATCAGACCAGTGATAGCTATGGTCGTGCTCACCACGATTATTATCAAGGTGTTTATCGGACAGAGATCTGTTGCTGTCATCTTCACCATCGATACGTCCATATTTTCGCAAGTAATTTCCAAGGAGTCAGGGATCTCTATAACTTTCGTTTGAATGAAATTGAGAAAATCTCTTGCGTCGCAATCGCACACCCATGGATTTCCGTGTAATGTCAGCTCTGTCAATGAAGTATTTTTCATAAATTGCAGAACGTCCAAGTTTAATCTGCTGATGTTGTTGTTATGCAGTTCCAAAACCTGAAACATTCAAAATTTGATTTCATTCATTGATTATATTTACTAACAAAAAATGACAATGATGTCGCATTGATAGTACTGACAATTAATCAGATGAACTAAAAGTCAAAAGATCCACCCCTCCCCCCCTCAAAAATAAAGGAAATTTATATTTTACGTACCTTCATGTTCAATGGCAATTCGTTGACGGATATTTTATTGATATTATTGTTCGATAGCAGCAATTTAGATATTTGTACGTCATCCAAGCCGATTTCAGCCAACGGCACCATTGTGGTCAATTCGTTGCCCGTGAAATTTAACTCGACATTGCGCGATGGCAAAGTTTTGATATTTCGCGGCACACTTGTCAAATTCTTGTACGAACAATCGATCAAAAATGTTTCGTCGTCGCGTATCAACCAGCACGTACAGCTGTCGGGACATGGGTCCAATATTTGACACTTTAATTGCTTCGATTTCAAATCTGTTACTTCTATGCCTGCAAGCCTGTCTGGAGTTTGACACGTTAAATGTTGCGGTATTATGTGGAAATAATTCTGGACGTAAGGGTGCAGTCTTCCATCCAAGTAACGAAGAAAGTCGTATGCACTACAGTCGCAGTTAATAGGATTAGCCTCGACGAATATCAGTACATCGCGTGGAACCTTTTGATATTTCGCTATTTCCTCAACGTGAGCCAGGTTGATGACTTTTATCTGATTGTGCGTTAAATTCACTTTAATGTTGTTGGATACGAATTGCAGATCCTCGACCTAAAACATGTATGAGATTCAAAGTTTCTTAATTAAGAGACAAACGTAACTAAAAGATTTGTTAATCTTTCAGTAATATCTCCATTGTCTCACCGATAGTTGCGTTATTTGGTTAAACTGCAGGTCTAAAATTCGCAGATACAAAGTACTTATGACCCAATCACCGAATATCTCCGAAATGTTGTTCCTGTCCAAATATAATTCCTCTAATGCGGTACAACTATGGAAAGGTGATTTCTTTCCGTAATCATCCCAGTAAGGATTGCTCGTCGAGGTATTGAACGTAAGATAATTGTCAGAGAATACCGCGATCCGTAGTTTTGGCATGAAGTTGAAACTCATGTCCTCTATTTCTTTCAGCTTGTTTTCAGACATGTTCAGATAATCCAGTGACTTCAAACGGCTAAAAAGAGTTCTGAAATGTGTAAAATAAGAGGGAGATTACACTTTCGTATCTAGACGATAGCAAATGAAAATTGTCCTCTTCAACATTGAATTATTTTAACTTCATTTGTACCTGGATATCGAAGTGAGATGATTCTTCGACAAATCCAGCGTGGTCAATTGACTCAAATCAAAGAATATCTCATCGGGCAGCGAGGTCAGCTCGTTAAAATTGAGTAGCAACATCGACAAGTTTTTCAAGTCCTTGAAGAGGTCTTCGGGGAGCGATTCGATATAGTTCCTTTGCAAGCTAACGTTCGTCAGTGAGAGGCAACCGCGAAACAAATCAGCCGGCACTTCCTTCAAACCGTTGCTCCTCAACTCCACCGCCCTCAGCTCCGTCAAGTTCGCGAACAATCCGTTCGGCAGCCTCGTCATGTTCCTTCGATTGCTATACAAATTCACCGTCTTCAAATTGATGTTGTGCTGGAGCAAACCCTCCGGCAACGACGAGAAATTGTTCCAAAACAGATTCAACGCCTCGAGATTCACCAGCTTTGCGAAAACATCTGTGGGCAACGTGGCCAGTTCGTTCCCGTTCAGATCCAAAGAATTCAGAGTCTCGAGTTTGTCGAACGTGCCCGGCTCGATCGTCGTGAACTTGTTCTGCCATAGATTCAAAAGTCGTAGCTTCTTCAACGGGTCGAAGATGCCTGGCTCGATGCTCTCCATCATGTTGTTACCTAATTCAAGCACCTCTAATCTCGGCGTGTAGCTGAAGATCCCCGGTGATAAGCGTACGCGATTCTCGCGCAAGTCGAGCCAGACTAGTTGCGACAGATCGGCGAAAAGATCGCTGCTGAGGTTGGTCAGGCCGTTGCTCGACAATATTAGTCGTCGTAAATTTGGGAATCCCTGTAGGTGCTTTCTGTTCAACGTGCCGCTCAAATCGTCGAACGACTGAAACGCCAGCCTCTCCACGTTTCGTACACCGAACTTCTTGACGATCTCTCCTAGAGTCAGACTCGTCGGTAAAGTGCACATCTGGAAGAATATGTCTTTTACGTCGTCCGTGGATGTCAGCTCCGATATATTGAAACTGTCCCATTGTGGCGAGTTGTGGCATTGTGTCTGGAAAAAAAAAAAATAAGAATATTTTTCTCGTGAGATTTTTCATCGAACAAGTCCATCCACAATTTATATGAATTAAGGATTTTTTAGCTGCTTATATCGAAGCGAACGGTTAACGTTATAGTGGAGAATTTATTCTTCATGGCATGTTGTGGCTAAAGAGAATTTTCTGTTGCTTGATGATGATTGCGATAGCTGTTTCCACGTAATTGTTGTGTAATGGAAAGTGAAAGTTTCGGATCCCGATACGAAATTAAATTGAGAGGCGAAGCGTGTCTAACTGTCTTTCGCGTTTAAATTCATTTCAATAGTATAAATATAATTTTAACTAATTCCACAATTTTATTATGCAAGAAAGAGGCGTAATAAATATACTCGCTTGAAGCAATTAATACGTTTGAGGAATGGAGTGGAGAAGGAATGGAATGGATATCAAAAAATCGATTTAGAATTGATGAACGACACAAAAAATGATTTCGACGATCGTTAATTTATCTCGTATCGAAACGAAACATGATAAAGCTTCATTATTTAATCGTACCACTGACGTGGTAATTTGTTGACACTCGCTGGTTGAAAAGGAACATTGTACTTGTACCCATATGACAGATTTGAAAGACGAATCATTTATTAGATCCAAACGAGTTTATTCATGTTTTCACGAGCCAAAACCATAAACTAAAAAAAAAAAGTAGAACCTAAAGTGGTGATATACTGGCCAAATATTTTACTTTGAATATTTTATATGCAATTAAAGAATTTTCTCCGTGTAAAAAAAAAAAAAAAAAAAAAGAGGAGGAGGAATATGACTTGTGTATTTCCTCTATGATCTTCAATCGTGAAACAAAAAAAAAAAAAAAACAATAAGAGAACAAAGTGTTGACACGAGTATGCACGAGAAGAGAAACGAAGCAAAAAAAAAAAAAGGAAAAAAAAAACTCTCCATCAATAAATATAATCAATGGCAGAAAGATATATAAAGTAATAATTATAAGAAAGAAAAATATGTTGCGTGGAACTCGCGAAATGCGAGCTTGATACGATATTACGCGCGACATTATAGCCGACGTTCCGTTCTCGGCGAGTGAGTGGGACTCTCTTTGAAAAGTATCAATGAGTCATCACTCGCATTGCTTACCTGAATAAAGTCATGCTGTTGAACGGTCACGACGAAGGACGATCTCTCGTTCATGGGACAGTGTATCTCGTAGTCTCCGTTGATTTTCGAAATGCAGCTGCAGCCTTGTTGCGGCGGGCATTGCCTGTTGAAGGCGTAGCACGTCGCAATGACGATGCAGAGGATGATCGAACGTCGTAGAGAGTAGTAGTCGAGTATCATTCTGCCGAGTTTCCCGCGACGTATGTACGATCGACGTTACGCCTGCCAACAAGAAACAATAAAGGTTATTTTTTTCTTTTATTTCCTATGAAATCGCGTCAAGTATCTTTCGTCGGGACGAAAACTTTTGAATAACGAAAAGAAAGAGGAATCGGAAACGGGAAGTAGCAGTACGACGAGTCAGATTAGCGTGGTTCTATCGCGCGATGATAAGGAAACTCGCAGTTCGCAGATCGTAAATCGTGTGTATACAGTGGGTCAAAAAAGTGATACTTGGCGCACCTAGCTTTTTTGGCGATATCTTTGACAAAAGCAAATGACGTATGAACAAAATCTAATTTTCCATAAATGGTTCACTGCGTGCCAAAGCAATTTCCAATAATGAGTTATATATACGACATATACACATATATAAATATACATATTATTACATATACACATATATAATATATATATATATATATATATATATTATTACAAGAAATATAAAAATTCGAGAGTTAGAAAAGTAAACTAAACTAAAATTATTTTAAACCTATTTAAAAGTAAATTAAAGTAAACTCGACCATTAGAAATATTTTATATTTTGGTAGAGCTGCAAAATAATAATCCCATATGTGATATATATTTATTTTTGATTATTTTTGATTCTTGAATTTTTATATTATTTGTATTATTTGCTACTGTGCACATTACTTTTGTATGTATTATAGTATTATATTATTTATACATATATAATATAGTATTATATTATTATATAGTAATATTATTATATAGTGAAATATATAGTAATATTATTATATAGTAATATAGTATTATATTATTTATGGAAACAGAGTTTGTTAAAAATATTGCAAGAAAACTAGGGGCGCCAATAGTTTTTTGATCCACTGTATATAAAATGTGGTTATTTCTTGTTTCTCGGAGTATCGTACTCTGTCGAACAGAATTTGAAATCGTTTGAAAATATCTCGACTCAAACAACTGCGGCGAAAGCTGCATTTAAAATATTTTAATTTACTATGTTAAGCAAACCGAACATCTCACGCGTTTATCGGATTAACGTTTGCATTTATCTTCGTCAAATACGGAGAAAAACGATCGCTAATATTGTCGGAGCAAATATTTAATATTAAAAATATCATTGCTGCATACGTCCACAGACTTTGCTCGAAATGATTCATAAATGATTTGTTGTTCATTTCGGTTGAAAAGCACATTTTCAAAATAGCGTTAAACGTTAACTTTTGTACTATGTTTTCTTCCGGTTGCTTTAAGAAAATGGATCCCGCGCATTGCCTTCTCAGAAATTTATCAATGAACCGATAAAAATACGTTTCGATACTCCTGTTTGCAAATATCAGGGAAAAATTCATTTTTACTGTTCGAACAGGGTGTTGACATATTCGTTCCCTCATCTCTCTTATCCAATTTTATCTATATCAAACTTTATTCTTCGAAGAACAAGAAGAGTAAATCAAACAAACAATCTGCTCGGAAGTGCTCTCTTTATTTTCTGTTTCCTTATTTCAGAGAAAAGATGTTGCGTTGATCGTGTGAATCACCGTAATCTTCGGATGATTATCATAAACGGGAGGGGGGAGAAAGGTCATTGTTCTAAAAATCAATTAATTAAATTCGGCAACGTTTTAATAATCTGCAATCGTGTCTGTCGATCACGAGGTGTGATTACACTCGTCGATCATTGATTCGCCGTAGATTCGATCGAATCGAGAAATTGTCGTTTGGATTCTTTCACGAAAGGAATGTCGAAAGATCATGCTTGCCACGTATCAGATCCTTCACAAGCGTACAAAACGTAGATACATTCGGGCTAACGACCCGGACAACTACTACACACACGAGTTCGCTAGAAATGAGACACACCTCGTTCCGCGGCTCGTTGCAAGATAAATGCGTAACGCATATACGGGTATGCGTGTGAACATTGACGAAGGTCGAACGTGATAAGTAGAGTGTGAATAAATTTTCGCACGGACGCACGATAAAAAGAACGGCAGTAGCAAAAATTTGTTTCTACCTACCGAACGTTGTAACTTCGACTCGATTAAGATATGTGTGTATTTGTGCCAAGGCACATATTTTTCGTGTAGGAGTGAGACTCTAGTGCTTTCAGCACTACTTTAATAAATGGTTTGTTATTGTTGAGCTTTGCAAGTTGCATTGTGCTAACGCGTCACGTATATATTTAGCAAAAAAAAAAAAGAAAATGCAAAAAAAGGTCTGAACTCAAATCATGTAAGATTTTAAAAGTTCGAACAGACTTAATTATTAAACTTCTACATTTAAAGTTTATCTTAATTCAACATCGAGGTCGCAATCATTTTTTTTTTTTTTTTTTTTTTCTATAAGATCCATGAAAAGATATAACGCTGTTATCCCTAAGGTAATTTATTCTATTAATTTTAAATTAAAGATCAAATTATTTTCTTTAATTCAAGTTTTTGAAAATTAAGATTTAATAATTTTTCGAAAAATCGAAAATGTAGAATCTACTTTACAGAACAAGATGCCTTTGTTACTGTCGAAACCGTCGTTCGAACTAATAAGAATAGACACGATCAACTTTTCTGCTCTGGAAATTATTTAATTTAATCTACGTAATTATCAAAGTATATTTAGCGTAACTTCTATATCCTGGAAACGAAAGATAATGAATAGCAAGATAGAAAGATCGATGACAATTTTTTTTTTTTTTCATTATTTCTTACACATGTTTATCAAACAATTATGAAAAATGTTGACTTTCGTATAAAGTTACACGCCTGTCGATATTTTCTCGTTAGCGTGATGTTATTAAATTGCAATTAGTGGAATAGTCAAGACTAGATCAGTACATTTAAAAAAATGTTGAATAAAGCTTGGCAGCGATCTCGAAGTATAACGGAATAACACTTACGTATTTCGATTCCCTTCACGACCCAATTTTCCAACTTTTAGAATATCACACTGACACTTGGGGCACACAGAGTAGATAATGATCCTAGTTAGATCCAAAACACAGACGAAAAACATCGCGAGAGATTTGCAAAATGATTTCCGTCTGACATGAAGATACGTTTTGATATATTTGTTTATTGACAGTCATGTCCAATTTACGCAGATGACCGATATACTACAGATTAGATATTTCAGATTAAGTGTTTCATAATTCGTCGTGATCATTATTATAACCATGACCTTCCAAATTGTACTATTCGTAATTGAAATGTTTGATTTATTAATATGTTACCTAATCTGTATCTATGATAATATCTAATCAATTAGATAGAGCGATTGCACGATGCTTAAATCGAGAACAAATCAGTAACGATGGCGAGACACAATGTTCCTAATTAAAAACATATCATTTTCCTTTTTTTTTTTCTTAATAAATTAATAAATTTAACTGTAGTTATTTACAAAGTTGCTTTAATTAGAGACATAATTTCTGTCAGATATTTTCTATTTGGATTTCATAAGAAAAGATTTATTTAAATTTTTTTATCTAAATTTATTTTATTTAAATTTAATTTAATTTAAATTTAAGTTTTAAAACATCAACCGTATTCTTCGAATCTCCAAAATAATTCGAGAGAATATTTACTTTATGTATGTAGGAGTATGTCTGTTACGCAGTCGTTGTCTGTCTCATTGTGATTACGCTTTTGAATCAACAGACGTTTGATAAATTGATAAATTCGTTTTTCCTAATTCCACGGCTTGTTGTCGTTAAATTGTATAGTAGAGCGTTACACATACGCTGTTGAAAAATTTCAAAAAATCAGATACAATCTTAAATGACAAAGACAAACAAAATACACCTTGTATGATGATATTTTTAGCGAATAATCCCTCTCCATTTTATAAAAAGGAAAATGTACGAATTAACTAACATAAACAAACTAACAAAAAAAAAATAACTAACATTTTTTTATAAATTCTAATTTATATTATAAAATCACTAAAATCTTCTAAACATACGAATGATAATTGCTTCACGCACATTCGCTCCATAGTACAGCAGAAAATCTCATCTGAGAAATAAGACAATGTAAATATTTCTACGAAGTCATTCTTCGATTCCAAAGAATAGCGGCTATAAATACAGCTCCGTTCGTTATTTTCCTCTCTTGGTTTTAATTACTTTTAATTATTCTCTCAAGCGATTTATTTGTCGCGGGCGAAATTAAATTTCTGCAGCTTGTTTGCGGTGAATTATTTCGTGACTCTTTGAATTAATATTTCCGCGATAATTTCGAGTTAGATAATCGCGAATTGCACGCGTCTATTAGTTGTCGTCGTCGCGGCTGTTGCGCGCACAGGTGGAGAGGCAATGTCGATTTTGTTAAACCAAGGTCGCTTCGCATTCTCTTTGCGAATTCTCTGAATGGTGCTCCGTGAATCCTGTCCAAGTTTGCTTACGTATACACGCATACTAAATAAGAAGAAAAGGATTTTATCCTCTCCAAAAAAAAAAAAGTCTAAAATAAATAATGGCCAGACAGAGCCAAGAATTATCAGACAGAAAAAATGATAAATAAAAATCCTCTTTCAAGCGAATTTATTATTAATTCGCCGATTTTACTTTCTCTGTTCTTAATTAAGATGAATAAGAGAAACAACGCTGTGTTTCCAACTATGTATTAAATTTAAGAGTAAATTTAATAATCGGAAACAATAAGGTACCTCGCGTAATCTATTTCTCGTCTTTTGCACAATGTAACCAAGATACGAGAAAGTTGATAAAACACTCGAGCAGGTTAACACGAGCTACAGTTTATTCAAAGACGTAACAATGATTCTCCTGTGAACAATGATGCATTTATTTGCATTGCATTGTTCCCGTAGCGTATCAAATAAACTTTATATTGTTGTATATATAGTGTATATATAGTGTATATATAGTGTTGTATATATACTTACTGTTAGATCGTTCAATCTATATTTAAAAACGCGTTTCAACAAAAACTTAAAATACCGGAATTTGTTTGTATGTATGCTTGATTTTTAAAATACACCGCTATTTATATTTTCTAGAAATTAAATGAAATTAACAACTTCGTTTATGTTATATCGAGATAGTTTTTGCTCTTTTTGCTTCTTACAAGATCTATTTCTCTGAAACGTTTCAACTTCTACCCGTTGATAATTGGTACCAATTGAAAACCCACTAATTTACTTGCTCGTACCTATTTTCCTCATATTCTTTTTGATTTTGTCATTTTACATGTTCTAAGTGCAAAATATCACATTGCAATAAATCTGTATTAAATACGAAATACTATGCGCTAATATATATACGATAGATGGAGCCCAAAAATAGAATGTAATATCTTCCCTTTGATAATATACCATATGGAAACTTCATTAAATTTTGCGAATTATACAACTATAAAAGATATAGTAAATATCGTAGACTAAATTCCGAGAAATGCAAACTGTGTAATCATGTAAATAATTCCTGTCGGAAAGTCCGAATATACCGGTTTTTATTGAAAAAAAAAAAAAAAAAAAATAGGCAGTGATTCTCATTATCATACTTGTTTCGTATAAATTATGATTCGATTGTTTCTACGAATTTTAATAATTTTATTTATTTCAGAAACATCGATCTAACAAAACGATCTAATAAAACAGAGATTCGATAGATCGTGGATATCGTAATTATCCCTCTTTCGAGGAAATCAGTTCTTCTCAGGTATCTTGTTAAACACAATAATGTATTAGATGAAAGACACTAAGATATTTGCAGTTGTGAGAGTTGCAATTAATTGATCGTTAAGTGCACCGTCATTCCTCGCCCGCGTTTGAAAACTGAATTCAGATGAAATTTATAAATCTGTTTTCCTTTTTTTTTTTTCAGAAGCTTTAAAATAAAAACCATAATATTTAATCGAATCGAAAAGGTCCAACGTCAATCAACAAAATCACGACATTTTGATTTGTCACGTCGCATGTTGATATTGAAACGATCGAAAGCAGTTGAACGCTACAGCTGTATATAAACTTCCGGTTTAAACAGAAAAAACATTTGTTTATCGTGAAAAAGGAAGAAAAAAAGAAAAAACAATCGTACAACGACACGAAGCCAAGCTGATAGTTACTTATTTATCACAAACTTCGCTAAAGATAGTAACGCCCCGGCAAATTCGCGTGAATTTGATCGATAAATCGATCAAACGGGATAGAAACGGGCATTAGAAGAAAAACGTAGGTTACGTGTGCTTCGCGGAAAACACATCATTGCGCGCGTCAGTTTGCGAATTGAAAAAAGAAAAATGAAAGAATGGCAAGAAGAACGTCTATTCATTCCCGGGTGCAATATGTTTCAAAACAATTTAACAAGACAATAGTTCGCGTGCTTCTATTTTATACAGAAATAATTATTCTGTGTTCGCTGCACAACACCGAGCATGCATGCATGCATGCACAATAACGCGAGAATTCTGGGCAATCGATACAAGCGGAAGTTGTGCTTTCGATCAAGTTTCAAAATCACACGCGACGTAACAAAACACAGTGATTTGACAATTGATATTGGACCATTTAGATTCGATTAAATATTATATATATACGTTTTAAGCTCTAACGCTTCGATACAAGCGGCCAATCGTTTCGAAAACTCAGAAGATCCTCTCACCAGATTCAACGTCGACGATTGTCCGTCGCGATCATTCGCTGTCACCGTTTGTTTTCTTCTCTGCCGCGTCCAGCAAAGATGACCCCGTACGTGGAACACACTGCTCGCTATATATACTTTCACAGCCACGATCATTCGGCAACGAGGTCGTCCGTGTTCGACTCGCGAAGAAACATCACGGAACAGTGACGAACAAATTGCAATCGCGTCGCGTGAGATTCATAAAACGCGAAAGCCAACGAGAAGTGTCGATTCTCTGCGCGCGCGCCGCACACTGTCGTTCGCCGCGAGTCCGAGCTCGAAATGACGGAACGAACAAGGCCACGTGATTCTCGATCCAACGAGTGAACCGAGTCTGCGATGGTGGGATGTACAGCCTGATAAATACACACTGGCCACGCGGAGTGGTGGTGGAAGAGGATCCTAGCGGAGTTTCACAAAAGAAAGAAAGAAAGAAAGAAATTCCCCTTGGGAATTTCTAATTCGCAGGGCGAGAGTGGGAGAGCTTGAAGATAATTTGCATTTAATATCGTTAATGACAACATGACAGACACAGCGCTCGACATGGCCGCCGATGCTCGAGCTATAGTCAACGACAAATATTTGTAAATGTTGCTCGGGGTCGCCAAGGTTGTTAAAAATGATTCTCCTCTTGTTCGCGTGACGTCACGCTTGAAGATAACTCGGGAAAATCGAGATCGAATTGCGTGTTTCTACACTTCATGTGTTACTTTGACTTTTTCTTCAGAGAGTTAAATTACTTTTATGCGAAATATATATATGCAAGAAGTAAACACGAAAATGGTCAACTCGATATTCTGATAATGCGCGGAATTACCGAAAGATTTCTTCAACTGCTGACAGATATTTCAGTATGTTGGGGAATGTTTCATCATTATTAAGTTACCAAGATAGCTTTGAATTTTGTCTCATTTGATGGTTCAAATGTCCATCTGATTTTACCGAGCTAAATAAATATAATGTGACGAAGAGACTGCAGCAAGAACTTCTTATCCATCAGACAAACCAGAAGCCGAATTCCTTTCAAGAGGCTTTTTAGATATTTCACCGAACACGTGTCTCTTCTGGTACTTGTCATCCTGTAAATATTTATCGGGAAAAAGTTATATAGAGACTGTCCCTCTCAACGTATTTTTGAGACGTACAGGAGAAACTATGTACTTTTTTATTATATATTGTTTATAAGTTATTATTACTTATTTATTATATATATATTATATATTTTTTATTATTTATTATATATATAATAAAATAATATATATTATATTAATTAATTATATAATTAATTATATATTTATTATAAATATCTAAATATTTATAATTAATTTATAATAATTAATTATATTATATTTATTAATATATATTTTATTTTATTTTATATTATATGTTATTTTATTTGTTTGTTAATATTTGTTTTTTTTATTTGTTACATATTTTATTTATTTTATTTTATATTATATATTATTTTATTATATATTTGTTATAATTAGAGTTTCAATTTTTTTTTAATTCAATTTTCTGTTCAAATTAAAATTTCTTAAACAAATATTAACATCCATACGTGTAAAAGAAATTTCCACGTACGCAGATGTTGGACGCGTACACGTTTCAAAAACAACGGTGGAGCCATTAAAGATTTTGAAAATTAGTTTTTCGCTGGTATTCCACGCAACTAGATAACAATCGTGCTTTATAATACGTCAGTCTTCCTACGTCATAAAATTCATTCGTTATGCATTTTACGCATTGCAGTTTGCCATGCAATATCGAATAAGTAAACAGCAATAGGTCGCTAAAGACCTCGTAGTCGATGCGACTCTAAACCCCCATATAAAAAAAAAAAAAAAAAAAAAGCATCACCAATCTTGAATCAACACGGGCAACGTTTATAAAAGAACGAAACAAATGGATCTGCGAAAATAAAAATCGTACATACAGAGGCGAAGTATGCGACCAAACTACCGATGAAATTTCTCGATGAAAGTCGAGCGATTTCAAACCTTGGGGAAGAAGTGAACCTTTCGATTAACCAGCCAGAGTCGGTTCAACAGCAGAACGCACCGTGCGAGCAAGCACAAGTGATTTTAAATCAAGCGGGCAGCGGTGTATATTCCGGTGGTAATAAACGTTGCAGCCTCCCGTGCACTTTATCAAATTCTATAGCGTTATAAGCCACGCGGTACACAGCTATGCGTCCTCGGGGAAATAAACTTCGTTTTCCTCGGGAAAGTTCTACCTCCGTAGGAGAAGAATCTCGAGTTTTAAATAAATTAAGCCTTCGTTTCCAAAGGGCCGAGAGCGCGCGAGCGGTTGTTTCAGCCGAGAACAAGAACCTCGCTGAATAATATATATGCCGCGAGGCAACCGAGGAGAAAACCCGTCCGGACTCGAATGAAGATGAGAACAGGAGGGCATAACCATCGAGAGGAAGAGGAAACCTCCGCTAACACAGCCTCGATAAGCGTACGCGATTATACTTCCACGATCGTACGTCCATTGTGCCATTAACCCTTTCATTACAAGCGCTGGATATATAGAGGGTGTCCCTGCGTCGGTAGTGAACAAACGAAGTGAAGGTGATTCCACATGAAATAATAAGTCAGAAGTAAAGAATAAAGTTTGAGTAAGAGTTCGTTTGAGACTCTGTTTTTGTACTCGAACAAATCGACTTTGAATGTTACAAGCCGAAAATTATTTCCAAACTCATTCTAAGTAAATAGGCATTAACAACTAGTCGACATTACGAATGATATCAATGCTGTTTGTGAATAATCTGCATCAAGATTCATTCATGTACATACGTCGCCGTTAAGTGCACGCCTATTCAGAGAATATTCAAAATTTACTCGAAAACAAAGTCTGAAACGAAAAAATTTTTATTCTTTATTTTCGACTTGTTACCTCCTCTTCACTTGTACTACGTAGGGGCACTCTGTATACAGGGTGAATAGAAAAAAAACTATTCATAACCTCTATGAAGAGTAAAAAGTGCTAGTAAACATTAAACAAATTAATAGTTTCAAAGTTATAAACGATTTTTTGTAATTTCAGTTGAAATTCTTGTGAAAAAGTTAGTACACATCCGGGAATCTTTGAAAGAGTAATCCTTTAACTCGTCAGTCTCGATAAGAATGGAACTTGAAAAGCTTGATCTCAATACAAATAAAAAAATTATTGTCAACTGCAACAATTTAAATCGTTTATCAGAATTAGTTAAATTGTTATTCATTTTTGTATCCTATATTCTCCACGATAGAGTAAGAAAATTGTAATCGAGGATTAGATAGATCTATTCTTCAATACTTCATTCGACTGTGAAAAGGCAAGTTAATTACACGTCGACAATTAATAAATTTTTCCATTGAAATCTGCTTACGCTCGATACTCGATATCGCGAGAAACGTGAAAAACATGGAAGTGTTTGCAGCAAGGGCTGCGAACGCTTAAATACATCGTCGATGAGCGTACACGATTTCTTTCGCGCGGCCTTTTCACCCTTTCCGAACCGTCACGGATCGGACGTTTAGACAAGTTGAGTGGCAGGAAGGAAGCTCGATCCGCCACGGTGGGAACAAGATGGAAAAAGAGCCAACGAAACGGGAGAGAAACGGACAAGAAGCGAGATCGGAACCACGACGGAGAGGTACGGCGTCTCGCTGAACTTTCTCAATTAAAAGTTAATTACCTTTCGGCTAAGACCACAGAATTTCAATCGGCAGACGAATAATTGTTCCCTACGTTTGAACTACTGTCGAAGTAATTAACAATGTAAACATTTACGTTCGATTCCGTTCTAGTTTCTTTTCCTCTTTCCCTTTTTGTTTTTCTCTCTTTTCATTTCGTTCTCCACCCTTGACGTTTCCCTTTCGCTCTTTTTCTATATTTTGCTAATTTCTGTGATAATTCTTTCTATTTTCCCTTCGTTTTCTCTGCGATCGATAGTCCTTGCGCCGTTATCGTGGTTGGCTGGCGAGCGAGAAAGAAACGTATCGTCGTTTGATATCGATGTTAATACGACGAGATAGGGATTACACCGCCTGATAGAATTCCAGGAGTACAGGTATCGGTCCGATTCCTTTTGATAGCTATTTCGATTCAAACATTCAGGCGATCTTCCATTGTTTTCTTTTGATAATAATCTCGGAGCTTAACGGGTATCGATCGGGACGGGAGGTAATTATTTTTGATATTTATCTTCTCGACGAGATGTTACATCGACATGAGACACATCGACAGAAATTATCTTCTTGTCTTTTCCAGATATTATAATGTTTTACACAGTGATGATTATGTAGGAGATAGTTGAAAATATTGTGAAAGGAGAAGTGATATTCTATATAGAAATAGAATCTTTTTCTTCAAATCCTAAGTCACGAATTTCTCTTTTCACGGGTGTAATGGAAATGATGAAAATATAATATTATACAAAATAAAATTAATATTACAATTCATTAATTATTGATTAACAATAATTTCGTAATATTTTAGATCAATTGTTGTGATACTGATTATTAATTAATTTAATTGTAATACAAATAAATTTACTTGTATAAATTACAAATAATGAAAACATAAACATTCTACTTTGAATAATTTATACACTTTGATGTATTTTACGTGTTGTATGTGTTTTTGCACCTATAAGTTGTGCGAAAGTTCATAAAAATACAGCCTGATTTATTTATTTACAGGCCGTGATAATTGGTGGAAATTGCCAAGAAAACCATTAATCAAGCAAAATTCTGCACTCGAGCGAGATAACAATCTAAGAATTTACAAAGGCAATTTGCAAGAGCTGCGGCAGGAATATGATCAGTTAAGAATTACACGCGTGAAGAATTACAATTGTTCCTAACAATTACCCAACCTTATCATTCTCACTAAAGAAATTTGAATAAATTTAACCACAAAACTCAAACAAGTTTACATCCAAGAAATATGTGGATATTAAACAACAACGTATACGATCGGTCAAAACGACGATCAAGAAACGTGACAGCAGAAATCACTTCGACTACAATTAAGGACAAAATATCCGACAAAAATTCTACAGGAAGTTACCAGATTCAAAAAAAAAATGCCTTTGAGATCTGTACTAAGATAATCCATACGATCGTCTCGTTTTTAGTCTCGCTTGCACACGACAGGAAGCCACTTTAGGGAAACGAGAGCGCAGCGCACGTGATGTAATTCGGAGGACACACAGCCCTGGCTGCGATCATTTCAGCAGGGACATTTAATTAATAGCCGCGGGATTCGCCGCGCCTCAATTACAACGCGATTAATTATGTAATCGTCGGGAAACGCGATGGATCCACGCTCCAGATTGGTCTCCC